GTAACTACAGCAGGAGGTACTAACTACAGCAGGAGGTACTAACTACAGCAGGAGGCAGTAACTACAGCAGGAGGTACTAACTACAGCAGGAGGTACAAACTACAGCAGGAGGTACTAACTACAGCAGGAGGTACTAACTACAGCAGGAGGCAGTAACTACAGCAGGAGGTACTAACTACAGCAGGAGGTACTAACTACAGCAGGAGGCAGTAACTACAGCAGGAGGTACTAACTACAGCAGAAGGTAGTAACTACAGCAGAAGGTACTAACTACAGCAGGAGGCAGTAATTGATGATATTTTAACTCATCTTCAGAAGTTTGACATTAAAACAGTAAAATCAAGTCATTTATGTTTTAATCAGGTATAACTGGTTTGTTAAAAGAAACACATGAAGACTTTAAATATACGACTTCTTTATCTCTCCAAGTGTTTTTATATAGAACAAGTCATCTATAATTAGACTCAACAAAACTCAGTAACAGTTTGTTCTAAAGTTAATCCTGTTAAACATGAGCTGAGTCAACTTGCCACAGTTTTGTGAATCTTCATCGGAGTTATCCTGACAGTCATCGTCTCCGTCACACTTCCAGCGCAGTGGGATGCAGTGACCAGTGTGACACTGGAAGCTGCTGGGCTCACAGGTATGGTGGCCCACTGGGGTCAAACACAAACAGCAAAGACAGGGACACAGTGGTTCAACAAGTCTGAATGTGAAACATGCTCTTTGTGCTAGCTTCACATTTACAGCCCCTGGGACATTACATCTTCAGGATAAATATGAATACATGATTAAAAGGATAACATTAGTAATGTTTTACAAAGAAAGAAAACAAATTCACACCACTGAGATGAACAGTTGTTGACATTCATGTGCAGTCACAGGAAATGATGATAAAGAAAAATGACAGCCTGCGACAACGCTTTAATAACACAGAGAGAAATGAAGAGTGAGAGTTTATTAACAAAGAAAAGTTCCCCTTTTTAAACAGCTCCATTTGGACTTCAATAGCCTATATGCCACGGTCATTAATGACGTATTTCCTGTAAAATTCTTGCCACGCTCCTCCCTTCCACTTCCTGCTTATTGCCTTTGTTTTTAGCGTTAGCTGCTAGTACTAGTCTGTGAAAAAGTCACAAAAGTTAAAGCATCTGTGATCTACTGGTATAAAACATGAGTTCTGTTGTATGTCGTTGTGTCCACTAACCAGCAGGTACAACAGAGTGGTTAGTTTTTATCCTTTTTCCTCTTGATGAGGAGGTGACAGCTGTGGATCATAGCATTACAGGGAAAACTTATCTTTAAA